TACAAACACTAAGTATAAGAAAGCTGGTGTGGCTATACTGTGAAATATAGAAAGGGTAATTTTATAGTGATCAAAGGTTCTAATTCATGAAGAGATAACAATCTTAAATCTACATACCCCTAATAATAATGAAGATCCTAAATAACTGAAACAAAAACTAACAGAAAAATAAACAAACCCACCATCATGGTTAAGAGGTGTAAATGTCCTTCTCTCAGAAACTGATAAAACAAATGGACAAAAAAATCAGTAAGGCTATAGAATATTTGAACAATATCAACTTGACCTAATTAATAGACACTAACAGTATACTTAATAACGGCAGAACACCCATTTTTCAAGTACGTGAGAACATTCACCAAGATAGATGAGCTAGGCGATGTAAAAGGTTAGTAATTTCAAAGGAATGAAATCATACCAAGTACACTCTAACCATAACAGAATTAAATTAGAAATCAATAATAGAAAGATACCCAAGTATTTTCCAATATACCTCCACAGATCAAAGAAAACTGTTACAGAGGAAATTTTAAAATATTTTGAACTGAATGATAATGAAAATACACATATCAAATTTGTATAATGAAGCTAAAAGAGTACTTTAAGCTTAGAAATTTATAACTTTAAATAGCTATGTATGAAAAGAAAGGTGTACAACCAATGATGTAATTTTCTACATTAATAAGCTAGAAAAAGAAAAGCAAGCAGAAGAAGAGATATAACAAAGTTAAAAGCAGAAACCAAGTAAAGAAAAATGAACAAACAATATAAAACCAACAAAGTACAAGTTGGTTCCTGGCCAAGATTTAAAAAAACAGATAAACCTCTAGCAAGACTGATCAGGAAAAAAGAAATAGAAAACACAAATTACCAATATAAAGAATGAAAATGAAAACATCACTACAAATATTTCAGTAATAAGAAGACAATAAGGATGGTATGAACATCATGATAATAACTTTGACTTCTTATATCAAATGGATAAATTTTTTAATAAAAACAGCATTGTTGTTTTCCTATGTGGACAAAATCTGGATAGCCCTGTAGCCTCAAAAAATAATTAAATTCATAATTACAAAATTTCCCACATAGAAAACTTCTGGCCCAGATGACTTGACTAGTAAATTCTATGAAACATTTAAATAAGAAATAATTACTAGTATGGAGATTCTGCAAAAAATTAAAAATGGAAATAGCATATGATTTAGTATTTCCACTGCTGAGTATTTACCACCTAATTTAGCAAGACTGTGGGATACAAAATCAGTATATGAAAATGAAATATATTTCTGGGGTGCCTGGGTGGCTCAGGTGGTTAAGTGGCTGACTTGGTTTTTTTGGCTCAGATCATGATCTCACGATCCTGGGATCAAGCCCTACAACCAGCCAGGCTCTGCACTCAGCAAGAAGTCCACTTGAGATTCTCTCTCCTCTCCTCTGCCCTTCCCCCACCACGTTCTCATTGGGTACTCCTGAACGCGCTCTCACTTGCTCTCTCTCTAATCAATAAAATATGGGCACCTGGGTGTCGGGATCCCTGCTGACATCCATTCCCCTCCCTCTGCTGTTCCCCATGCTTCTGCTCGCTCTCTCTCAAATTAAAAAAAAAAAAAAAAGTCTTTTAAGAATAAATATAAAATAAATAAAATTAAAATAAACTCTATATGCTACCAATCAATATCCAAAAAATAATTTTTTAAAGATTTATTTACTTATTCATGATAGACATAGAGAGGCAGAGACGCAGGCAGAGAGAGAAGCAGGCTCCATGCCGGGAGCCCGACGTGGGACTCGATCCTGGGACTCCAGGATCATGCCCTGGGCCAAAGGCAGGCGCCAAACCGCTGAGCCACCCAGGGATCCCCAAAAAATAAAATTTTAAAAAATCAATATTGTTAACTGTCCATTCTGCCAAATGAGTATATATTCAATATAGTCACAATTAAAATTCAAGCAGGATTTCTTTAAATGGAAATTTAGAAGCTCATCCTAAATTTTTATGGACATGCAAGCAAACTAAAGTAACCAAAATAAACCTGAAAGGAAGGATAAAATTAGAGAACTTAACTTCAGTGTGACTTTGAAACAGACTATAAACCTACAATAATCAAGGCGGAGGTATTAGTAAAAGGACAAATATAGCAAACAGAATAGAGTCTAGAAATAGACTCCCACTGCCAAGACATTGACAATACAATTCAGAGAAGGAAATCTTTTCAATAAACAAACAGCTGGATATCCCTATTGAGGGAAAAACAAAAACATGACCTTCCCCCTCACACCATACATACAAAAAAACACAGGTCTAAAGGTAAAACCAATACAGGAAAAAAAAAAAAAGAGAGAGGAAGAAAAACAGTATTTTCATGACCTTCATTAAAGAAGACACAGAAGCATGAACCAAAAAACAGACATGATAAAATGTATTTCATCAAAATAAAAATATTCTGCTCATCAAAAAACACCAAGAAAATGAGCTGGCATGCCATAGATTAGGGAAAATATACACAGCGTATACACAAGATCAAGAATACACTTAACTTTTTTTAAAGACACTTCAGAAAAGATAATTATACAAATGGCTAGTGATAACATTCAAAAGTGCTTAAAATCATTAGTTATCAGAGAATACAAAATAAAACCCCAAAGAGAGATCACTATAAATACATAATTGTGCAGTGGTTCTTAATAGGATGGGGAGGTGGGCATTTTTACCCCCAGGAGACATTTTCAGTTGTTACTGGCATCTAGAATGTTGCTAAACATCCTAAAAGGCACAGGACAGCCCCACATGATAAAGAATTATCATGAGCCAAATGTCAATGAGGGCAAAATTGAGAAACCCCCAATAGAACAAAGAGAGAAATAGCATCAAATGTTGAAGATCTAGAGCAAATGTAACTCTGATATGTCACAAAAGGGTATGCAAAATGATTCATTCACCCTGGTGTTTGACTGATGCTACCACATAAGTGTACATGGCTTCTCGATGCCAAATTAAAGGCCAACATGGCCTACAAGGCCTGCATGATCTAGACCCAGTCTACTTCTCCAGTAGTCATATGTGGCACAAGGATGATTCAGCACCAAGAAAAAAATTTCAATCAAGTCAACTCGACTTTGCTGAGAGAAATCTTAACACCATTTAGCCAACTTATTACTTAAAGTGATATTAATACATTCCAGTAAAATTTCTGCATCCCTCACAACAGAGACTAACAATTTTGGCAAAAATCTCATAGATTTAAAAAAAAAAATCTCATAGATTTGAAAAAACTATAGAAATTAAAGCTATATAAGTAATGGTCCTCTACCCCTTTTGTAAACGGAGTTAACTGGAGACCACTATAGAGTACTGACATTGGCTTAAGAAACACCAACATATAGGTTGGAAAAAAATTAAAAAGAAAAAAAAAGAAAAAAATTAAAGTAACAGCCCAGAAAAAAAACTATATATTTATAAATACTATAACTTATTTCACCAAAGAAGGGCAGTCATGTGTAAAACTGTATAAATGGCCTAAATTGGCACCATTCAAAAAAAAAGACAACACAAACTATAACGTAAGCCACATATGCTATGTTAAAAGAGTAAAAAGCAGGGCAGCCGCGGGGGGGGGGGGGGGGGGGGGTGCTCTGCGGTTTAGCTCCGCCTTCAGCCCAGGGTGTGATCCTGGATGGAGCCTGTTTTTCCCTCTGTCTGTGTCTCTGCCTCTCTCTCTCTCTCTCTGTCTCTCAAGAATAAATAAATTAAATCTTTAAAAATAGTAATAATAATAATAGGGCAGCCCCAGTGGCCCAGTAGTTTAGCGCGCCTTCAGCCCAGGGTGTGATCCTGGAGACCCAGGATCAAGTGCCAAGTCGGGGGATCCCTGGGTGGCGCAGCGGTTTGGCGCCTGCCTTTGGCTCAGGGCGCGATCCTGGAGACCCGGGATCGAATCCCACATCGGGCTCCCGGTGCATGGAGCCTGCTTCTCCCTCTGCCTGTGTCTCTGCCTCTCTCTCTTTCTCTGTGACTATCATAAATAAATAAAAATTAAAAAAAAAAAAAAAGTCCCAAGTCGGGCTCCCTGCATGGAGCCTGCTTCTCCCTCTCCCTCTGCCTATGTCTCTGCCTCTCTCTCTCTCTCTGAATCTCTCACAAATAAATAAATTAAAAAAAAATCTTAAAAAACAAAATAAAATAATAAAAAAGTAAAAAGATTAAATTCATTTTGATTATTACTGTATGCAAATACTTACTGTACAAAATATGCAAAATAGCCAATATACTCAAAACGTTATCAGCTCAATATTAATCAATTATCACCTCAATTTACTCAACATAAAACTCGGATTATTTTGTATTCTCTTTTTGTACTAAGTCTCCAAATGTATTTTACGTTTGTAATAAATTTTATTTTAGGGCAGCCCGGGTGTCTCAGCAGTTTGGTGCCGCCTTCAGCCCAGGATGTGATCCTGGAGCCCCGGGCTCCCTGCATGGAGCTTGCTTCTCCCTCTGCCTGTGTCTCTGCCTCTCTCTCTGTCTCTCATGACTATATAAATAAAATCTTTAAAAATAAAATAAAATAAATAAATTTCATTTTAGACTAGCCACATTTCAAGTGCTCAGTAGACACAGGTAGCTAGTGGCCACTGAGTACTAACAGTGCTTATGACATACTTTACATGGACTATTGCATTTAATCCTCTCTGAGGCACATAGATAGGAAAGTAAAATGTCCCAAGTTCCCACAGTTAGAATCAGGATTCTAACTCAACCATCATGACTGTTCCAAACCACCATGTTTTCCCCGCTCAAATTTAAAAAAAAAAAATTAAAAAAAATTTTTTTTACAATATTACTGAAACTTTCATTAAACCACACTAATACCTTAATTTCTGCTTTGATATTTATTATATATTCATTTTATGGGAACCTACATTTCTGGTCACATTAAAACAACAACAACAAACAAGCCTTTTTCCTTCATGACTTAAATCTGCAAGAAAACACTTACCATTAATACGAGTTTTTGATACTTTTGTTTTAGATCTGACACACTTGCAGATGGGTCTGCCCCCAAAATGCCGTACCAGTCCTTTTTTGGTATCTGCTCAAATGCCATCATCCATCGAACAAGAAGTGGGTCTTCTCAGATCAGCTGAATAGAAATATTGATGACCACTCATTACAGTTTGCTGGTTCAAAGAAACAAGTACTTTCGTAAATTTTTTAATATTTAGTTAAGTAAATCAGGATTATAACGCAAATCTGATGAAGCATGTGTTTTCACTTAAAACGCCTCAAGAATCTCATGTATAAGTATACAGGCAAGTAAGGCAAATGTGTTACATGTTTCACGATATACGCTTATTCCTTAAATTTTTCTCTGCATATTTTATTTATTTATTCATGGGAGAGAGAGAGAGAGAGAGAGAGGCAGAGACACAGGCAGAGGGAGAAGCAGGCTCCCTGCAGGGAGCCCGATGCAGGACTCGATCTCAGGACCCCGGGGTCACGCCCTGAGCCCAAGGCAGATGCTCAACCGCCGAGCCACCACGGCGTCCCCGCTTATACCTTAAATTAATGAATCACAACAGCATCAAGAAAACCGAATTCCAAAAACGAAAGCGAGCGGGGCGTGACCTCTAAGAAGATATTTCCGCTGGTCTCACGGGAAAAGCCGCACATAGTACATACTCACTAAACACCATAGAGGAATCTAATAAACGTTTACAAAATAAAAAAATATACATATATCTGCCTCAAATATATATATTTATATATCTGCCTCAAATATATATATTTATATATCTGCCTCAAATATATATATTTATATATATATGCCCCAAATATATATTTATATATATATGCCCCAAATATATATATTTATATATTATATATATATATTTGAAGCAAAAACAAGACAGCAAAAAACAACAACAAAAAAAAACAACAACAAAAAAAACAAGACAGCAAAGAATGCAAGTGAATTTGGGAGCATCCCGCCTTCGTCCTTCCAGTCCACATTTCTTCCAGATTACCTTAGAAGATTAGGGACAGCAGCAGGCGGCTGGGCAGGTAGGCAGGAGTCCCGCGGCTCCCGGGGCTCGCAGGGAACTCCCCCAAGTGCTCACGGGAGGATGCTCCAGGCTCCACACCTGCCAAGAGACTTCGCCAGGGGCCCAGAAACCAGGCCGCCTCTTCCCACAGCCGCGAACTTCAAGAGGCCGGATGCGGGGGCTCAAAACGGGGACTTGGGAACCCACCGTGTTCATCCCGGCGGTACGGCCCAGCCACCGGCGGCTATACCGTCTCCCGACTTTCCTCGGTACCAAACTTACCAAACTTCCGAAAGTCCTTATCACACCCACTGCTCGCCCGCAGGCGGCCGGCACCCGGAACCGGCTTCCCCTTCCGCCGGAAGTCACTGCCCTGACGTGACCACGTTTCTAGTCGAGCCCTTGTGGCCGAGGCACCGAACGCGCGGGGCGCTCCGCCCTCCGGGACGCCGTCGCTATGGTAACCAGACTCCGCTTCCAAGGAGTTACTACCTGTAAGTGACCGAGCCGCGGAAAAAGGTGTCTTTCGCCTCATTCTAACTCCCTCTTGCCCCGGCCCCGCGACTGTGGCGCCTCTCGTCTCCCTCAGCGAGCTTCCCGCCCCCCCACACACAAACACCCCCACCCCGGGCTTCCTCGGCTTACCCTCCCCAGCGCTGCTCTCCGTCCTCCTGTGGTTGTTGACGGTCCTCCGGCGGGGGGGGGGGGGGGGAGGAAGGGGGATGGGAGGGATGTGAAGGAGGGGGAGTCCCAATTCCTCCCTTGTCTCTACGCTTCCCTTAGAATGTTCTCTCTCGAAAATGAGAAAACCTATACAAATAGAAGTTTGGGTTTTTTTTTTTTCGTGTTTTTTTTTTTCTGGAAAAGATGCCCAACTTCAGTATTTCTTGTAGATGATCCTAGCAACCCGTAACTTCTCAGAGTTTCTTAATACTTACTACTTCACTCCTTCACTTCAACCCAGTGAAGCTAGAAAGGCGGGTGTTCATAATGTTCCCATTTCGCAGATGAATCCGACCAAGGATCAAGGCCAAACAGCTCATCGTACAGCAGCCGAACAGGACTCTTAGTAAGTGTGCAGCCTACCGGGGAAGGCACGCTGTCCTTCACGCTTACGGAAAAAGCATAAACCACTCTGCTTTGAGGCAGTTGCCGGCCCTACAAATGTGCGCTGTTAGTTTTTTTTTGTTTTTTTTTTTGGGGGGGGGTGTTTGTTTTTTGTTTGTTTGTTTTTTGGTTAGTTTTTTTCCTGCCTGCCTCTCCCTTTCCTTATGTTGTTCCCTTTTTTTGTCTCCTCTCCATACTGCTTGCCTCGCATTGACCTCTCTTCCTTGCCTTGCACCCAGAGGTGAGACTGCATCTTGCGCTTCGCCACCATGATTTAAATTTCACTTGGAGATGCTAAGGTAGTTCTGTTGTTATTACTGCTTGCATTTGCTTTCCTTCCTTCTTAGCTTTCTTCTGCCAAATCTCCGTTTGAGAAGCCATCAAGATCGGCCGAAGTGCATTAAATATTTTACTGTGGTCAATTATTTAAGGAGGCCATAAGAAAGAACTGAGTGACATATGAAAGTTAGAAAATCAAAAGCAAAAAGTATAAATTGGGGCAGCCCCGGGGGGGCTCAGCGGTTTAGCGCCGCCTTCAGCCCAGGGCGTGACCTTGGAGACCCCGGAGTCCCATGACGGGCTCCCTGCATGGAGCCTGCTTCTCCCTCTGCCTGTGTCTCTGTCTGTCTCTCTCTCTCTCTCTCTCTCTCTCTCTCTCTCTCTCTGTGTGTGTGTGTGTGTGTGTGTGTCTCATGATTGAATAAATAAAAATCTTAAAAAAAAAGGTATTAATTGGATTCTCCATAGGATTTTGTCATTTTTAAAATCAGGCACAAAGAGCATTATGGTAAGTCAGAGGATCTGATTTTAGTCCTGATTCCAACATACCTTCTGCGTGGCCCTAAGGAAATATATTAAGTGACTGAATCAAGTATTGTTCTGAATACCTTCCTATACAGAATGATGCCTTCTTGAACTTTTTAGCCCTCAGACAACCCCCCTTTCCACTGCTTAGTCTTTCCTTGTATAGTGATGCTCAGAGCCTCCAGTTTTTACAGCAAGAGCACACTACTTTCATTTATGATCCCTTGGGGTATTGGGTTTCCTCTTTTATTCCTTCTTTAAGCCAAATTCTGAAAAGTCTGATCACAGCACCTCAGCTTTCTCTTTTTTAAATTTTTTTTAAGATTTTGTTTGTTTATTTATGAGTGACACACAGAGATGCAGAGACACAGGCAGAGGGAGAAGCAGGCTCCCTGAGGGGAGCCCAATGCAGGATTCAATCTCAGGACTCCAAGATCACACCCTGAGCTGAAGGCAGGTGCTCAACCACTGGGCCACCCAGGGATCCCCACCTCAGTTTTCTCAACTCATTTTTTATATTTGTGTGCTGTATTTATTTATTTAGGTTTAGATAGTAAGAAGTACACGTTTTTCCCCCAGCAATTACCAAGTGTTGGTTCTGTCATTTCATCTTGACATCCTTTAGGTCCCATTGCTAAAGCATACTTTAGTTTACAACTTTTTCTTTCATCTCCATAATGTCATTATTCTGCTGTAATGACCAATAATTCATTGATGGCATCCAATAACTAGTCTTTATATTTCCTTAGTTGTCTCAGATATGTCTTTTTATGTCTTTTTATAGCTAATTTGCTTGAATCGTGTTGCATTTGATTGTTCTGTCTCTCTTTTTGTTTTAAGATTTTATTTATTTATTCATTCATGAGAGACACAGAGACACAGGCAGCGGGAAAAGTAGGCTCCATGCAGGGAGCCCAGTGCGATACTGGATCCCAGATCCCAGGATCAGGACCTGAGGCGAAGGCAGACACTCAAACCACTGAGCCACCCAGGCATCCCAATCTTTCTGTCTCTTAAGAATCTCTAAAGCTGGGGGATCCCTGGGTGGCTCAGTGGTTTGGCGCCTGCCTTCAGCCCAGGGCGTGATCCTGGAGTCCTGGGATTGGGTTCCGCACCAGGCTCCCTGCACAGAGCCTGCCTCTCCTTCTGTCTGTGTCTCTGCCTCTCTCTCTCTCTCTCTCTCTCTCTCTCTCTCTCTCTCTCTGTATTTCATGAATAAATGAATAAAATCTTAAAAAAAGAATCTCTTAACCTATAGCAGTCCCACATTGCTACTATCTTAGTTTTGTTTTCTCTTTCCCTGACATTGGTTTATTGAAAAACCAGATCAGTTGTCTTACAGTCTGAATTTATTTAGACCAGAATGAACTTCTTTTTTTTTTTTTTCAGAATAAACTTCTTAAAACATTTTTTACATGAATCCCTGCTCATTTGTCTTCACGTTTCATTTTCTAGAGCATTATTACCCAATAGACATATGAAGGAGGCCACAAATGCAAACCACATATATGATTTTAGATTTCCCAGTAGCCACATTAAGAAAGAAAAAAGCAACAGATGAAATGAATTTTAATAATATATTTTATTTAACCCAATATACTCTGTGTATGATTATTTCAAAATATAATCAATGTAGGAATTATTAATGAAGCATTTTACATTGTTTCTTCATACTAGGTCTTTAAAGACTGCTGTATATTTTACCTGTATAGCACATTTCAATTTGGACTTGCCACATGTTAAGTGCTTAATAGCCACATTTAACTAGTGACTGCTGTATTGAACAGGCCAAGTCTAAAGGATAATGTCTTGGGGTGCCTAGCTGGCTTAATCAGTAAAGCATGTAACTCTTCATTTCAGGGTCATTGAGTTCAAGCTGCACCTTGGGTGTAAAACTTACTTCAAAAAATAAGTAAATAAATCAAATAGAGGATAAAGTCCTGACTCTTTAACCTGGTATTCCTTTACCTCCCAAAATATAATCCTTAGTTTAAAAAAAAAAAAATCCTTAGTTTTCCAGCTTCATCGCCTACTGCTTCTATACATGAAACATTTAAACAATGGGATCTTTTCTTGGTACTTCATAATTTTGTTCAGGTTGTTCTCTTTGCTTATACCTTATTTTAAGAAGATAATTTATCTATTTTATGTAAAAATAACATAGCAGAAATATAAACTGTGTTAGCATAATGGTTAAGAGCCTGAAGTCTAGGCAAGCCTGGATGGCTCAGTGAGTTAAGCATCCAACTCTTGATCTCAGCTCAGGTCTTGATCTCGAGGCTGTGGGTAGGAGCCTTCGGTTGGGCTCCACACTGGGTGTGGAGCCTACTTTAGAAAAAAGAAAAAGAAAAAAAAAATAAAATAAAAAGAGCATGAAGTCTAAATTTGGACTGAATAGGTTTGAATCTAGACTCTGTCTCTTACTGGTTATATATGAACATTTTAAGTTAACTACTCTGTGCTTGGTTTCTTTCTCTGTAAAATAGGAATAATAATAGTGTCTCCCTCTAGGTTTGTTGTGAGGATTCAATGAGATAACAGTGCCTAAAAGTACTAAGTACTCAGGAAAGATTAGCTTTTGTTGTTGTTGTTATTATTATTAGTGAAATATTTACTGCTGAGTTTTGACTATTAGAACATTAAGAGGGATTCCTGGGTGGTGCAGCGGTTTAGCGCCTGCCTTTGGCCCAGGGCACGATCCTGGAGACCCAGGATCGGATCCCACGTCGGGCTCCCGGTGCATGGAGCCTGCTTCTCCCTCTGCCTGTGTCTCTGCCTCTCTCTCTCTCTCTCTCTCTGTGACTATCATAAATAAATAAAAATTTAAAAAAATTAAAAAAAATGTAGATATAAGTATGGTTATATAGATACCTTATATAGCAGGAGTTTGAGACCCTTGATTGTAGTAATAGCATAAATCAATTCTTATTCATCGCTTTAATATTTGTCAGACAATTGATATCTACCTACATTAATAAATTCTTAATTTGAGATCATATTAGTAAATTGTGCTTCTTATTGATGGATAATATTTGCAATATATACAGTGTAGTTCTGCTATTTTTATCCTCGGATTATATATATGTGGCTCTTTCTACTGGTTTCATTACCAACTCTTTAATTTTCTTGATCTTCTTTATCTCTGAGTTTTTAGGATTCTCATATCAGTGAACTAAGCTGTATTTATTTTTAAGTACCAAAAAATATTATGGTTATGTTCTGAAATTAGATGGTTGCCTCTACAGCAGATTAAAATCTACTGAGAAGATAGGAAAACCATCAAGAATTAGCTAGCGGTGAAATAAACACATACACAAGTACAGAAAGAGCCTTTATTCACTTCTTCATTCAATCAACA